CAAAGCGTTGTCAGTTTTCAGTAACATCGAAATCAGATTTCAGCCCGTGAAGCAAGATATAAATCTAAAAGTACTAGAAGCACACATTCCATTCATGACGGCCTAAACTCGTGTTGACGTCACTGTGTACGAGAACAATAGCAGTCTCGGTGCTATGAAACTTTAAAACTCTTCCATTAGATTATTCTCACTGATATGGGATGTGAGTTGACTTGCTATTACGAGTTCTAAAGTTTTATATAGAAAAGTCAGGTTTGATACTGATCTGTAATTTTTCTCAAGGTTCTGATTCAAGTTCGATTTCATATTGGTAGGAAAAAGATTGCGGTTTTGAAATCTCCAGGAGTGGTATTTTCACAAATACACGTGTTAATATGATAACGGCTTACTATATAGATAGACTGAAATATTCATACTATAACCCTTTCATATAACTGAAATTCCCAGTAACAGTATTTTCACAAATACAAGTGTTAATATGATAATATATACGTCTTTCATATACCGCCTTACTATATAGACAGACTAAACTGAAATCCCCTGGAATAGTATTTTCACAAATATAAGTGTTAATATGATAAAATATACCGCTTTAATATACTGGCTTACTATATAAATAGACAAAAATGTTAATATATACCTACCTACATGTAACTTGATCAACCATACATAGCGCTATAATAAAAATACCTGTATTTTTATATACTTGTTGACACACACCATTGTTCAAGTATCATCTTGCGTTCTTTTGTAATACGGATGGTAGAATTTTTGCTCTTTGGGTTAATAGCATTATATTAACTATGGCTTTGACTAATTATTGGTTTCATATTATAGAGAAGTCATACCTCAAGTACGCAAATGGAATGAGTGATGGGTTGACACATAAAAAGATTCATGAAACCAAAACATAGCTGGTTCTGTGTGAAAACAGAATATTATGTTTATCACTAATGATAGGAAAGTTACCATTGCATCATTTGGCTTAGTAACCAATCATTATATTTATATTTAGTAACCAATCATTATATTTAATAACGTCTTATTCCACCAATTAGATAATTGAAAGCCGAAACCCAAGGGTAGAAAACCATGACAGCTCTGGCCGATCGGTAGACATCGTGTAGATTCTTTAGTGTTAGACATCGCCTGGGTTCTTTAGACGGCCATATGATGTAGCAGTTCCCTGAGTCTAGCCACACTGACTAAGACTTTTACACGAGTTGGGGTTGAGAAAGAGATGTTAATTTTAAGTATTGTAATGTAACCTAAGCTTGTAACCTATGTATCCAGTGCTTGATATAAAATGTAGAAACGGCTTGTAGCATTGTTGTACCTGGTACACAAACATGGCTGAGATAAAAAAAAAATATATACACAACGTGATGTAGTACCATGCGTCTTTTGTCAGACGTGGAGAGCGGACGTTGAACAAACCGGTCACCACATCCTACGTACGACCCATGCATCTTTTCTTGCGCCATATTTTAGTAGCCTTGTGATCGTCTAAAATTTGTCTCTAGCTGTCTTTGATTCTGCTTCACGTTGTGTATTTACTTCTTACTGTTTTCCTAAAACGTTTGTCTTCTCAGTAGTTATAACAATGCAACAGTTCTTTTTACATTTTATATATCATAGCCGTATACACTTGATACAAGCATAGTATAGATTACAATAATAAAGTCATCCTCAAACACTAGCCAGGCAGTCAGACTCGCTGGGCGTGTCTGCTGATAGAAATTGTTACATCTTTCCCTTCCAGAATCTGTCTATTGTCTAGCCAATTCTGACAAGTATGATAGTTTTGTAGCTTTGGGTTTTGGACCTTCAATTATCTAATTGGTCAAATATGATGTAAATAATTAGAGAGATTGGTTAATTGAGCCCAATGACGTCGGAACCCACCCTTATATGGTTAAATGGAAATTTACTGGAGAAACTTCCCATGAGATATCTGTTATCCACCTAGAATTGAATGTTTACCACAGTATGGCCCTTTTTTATGTAACAATATGTCATTCATTAGCTAACTTGATTTAAGTACAAATATGTTAATCTACTAACTTGCCAATACTATATAATGCTATCCTTAATTTAAAGAGCAAAATTCTACAAAAAGTGTTACAGTGAGTCCTAACCAGAGACAATACTAGACGATCACCAGGCTTATGAAACATGTAGCAGGGAAGAGAGTCGGATGGGGGGGGGGGCTTACTGGCTTTCCACGCATAGCACTGTATAGTACTACATTCACACATCTAAAGTTAAGTCATTCCATGTCAAGTGGGCCAGTGTAAAATTGCAAACTTATATGACTCTAGCATTAAAATTGACTGAGATATTGCCTTTTGAACCGGGAACACCATAGTGTGAAACTAACATTCAAAGGCTCGATTTTGGTGTATTGGTTTTATATCTTCTAGTTAGACAATATTCTCGAAATTTGGGGATTTGGAAGAACTTTTTATATGGATTAACAATCCTCCATCAAATTTTACTAACAATATCGACTATGTATGGCGTGCATTAAGTGCCAAATATCATTACTCATCAGCAAAAAAATCAATGTAGGAATTTGACTTCAGAATATTAGAGGTTGTTACTTGTTACATGTATCTATGTGTGTTTATAGAACAGACATATTTTAAGCAGAAGCTGTTTATTTAATTAGACTGTCACATCTGACGGCTTTCAATTGTATTACATGTATTATCTTTCTACTACAATACAGCATCTCTCCTCACAGTCCCTCTGCTACAACTTATGCATATCAATATGGCAATATATAATGGTCATGGTATTGTACACTTATATTGTGTTTAACTATTGTAATTGTACTTGGAGGCAGACCACCATTAAATTTCACTATCTCGGTACTCAGAAATTGTAGTTCGTCTATTTACATCAATTCTCTCTCTGTCTCTTTTCTCCCCTTTTGCATGCACATTTTTGTTGAATTTTTTGGTCTAGAATTGACGAAAAGGGTTAGAATTAACATTTTCTGCCAGGTTCTGGTAAATTTTCATGATTTAGAGGCGAAAGGGTAACAGAGTTATCAGGTTGGTTACGGTGATATGTACGGCGAATAATAGTTACATGTTTTAGTATGTTTCTTAATGTTTGTGTATCTCAAAATTTTGTGGTCAACCTCATACAAATTTTGGTGCACAGACATAGCCATTTGTTTCCCTATCTGTAGTGAAAAGCGTTTAGCCCAACAAAAATTTTGGGAAAAATTGGTGCCGGGCAAAGAGGCCAGAATTAACATTGAAGTCAATGGGGAAATTAATGGTGGTCTGCCTCCACTTGTATTGTTTCAGTTGTCCCCCCTTATGTATGATTGTTTGCAGATAGTGATAGTTAGGTAAAGTGATTACTAGTATGCTGTACCGGAAATATTGATGGTCGACCCCATAAAAGTGTCTAGTGCTATTGGTTACACCCTGGTAAAAGCATCCAGATCAATGAAAAATTAGAAAACAGACCTGAGACATTTTTTAAAATATATCAAAAAATAACATTAGATGAAGTTTTAGTGGTCTGTTTCCGTCCACACGAATTTAAATATAGTTATCTCCCTTATTCCTGGGAAGACAAGGCAAGTCTTTATTCAGCACTGTTGGCTAGTTCCGAGTTAAGTCACTAAATACTAACACTAACTTAAAACTAATGACAGATGAGTTTATCTCCCCAAACCGCCAATCTCTTCCCCAACGGTCGCTATAACGATGGTCGCGTGTTCGATCCCAGCAATGACCGAAAAAGTTCATCGGGATTTTCCGACGTGGTTTCTCTTATCAGTGGTGCAGGAAGGAGTGGCTGACAAGGACAGCTGTCTAGTCGTTCGGATGAGACGACAAACCGAGGTCCCGTGTATACATTGGCGTGTAGCCGTGTATGTTAAAGATCCCTTTGCAGTTGGAATTCGATATAAGAGTAGGCCATAGTGCCGCTACCCCTGCAAAATTTCCCTCATTGAACACTGTATGTCGTATGCCTGTCTTCATTAGCCTAATAGGAGCAAAACAGTAGGACGTTAAACCCAATTTCATTTCATTTAATTTCTTCAAAGCGTAAGCATACCCTGCTTCGACTACGATACTTATCGTTATTTGTGGCTAATTGTAGCGATGTTTGGACCTGAATTTTCATGTATACGCGCGGATATCGTCTGATGAAAGGTGGCATACATCATTTTTCATTTTTTTGTCTTCTGTCTCTTCTAAGTCCGGACTGGAATCAAATGCGCAGTAGTGATCTTACGGGAGCTGAAAGAGACAAATGGGGACCCCTGGAGATCCGAGATACGATCCTGATACTGGTCGAGAAAAATCCCCGGTTTCAGTGGTGCAGGCCGGAGGGTCGAGCATTGTCTAGTCGTGGAATGGAAAGAAAAACTCATTGGAATTCGATGTAAGAGTAGGTCGTAGCGCCGTTGTCCGGGCAACTTCATAGCACACAACATACCGTATCACCTATAGGCCGGTAATTATTAAGACGTTAGGATCAGTTTGTCTACATGTATGTACCATTGACGTCATATGCGTCAATGTTATCCACTGCTGTATTCCGTCATATACGTCAATGTTATCTACAATTGATGTATTCCGCCATCTTGATGTCATATACGTCAATTATCCGGACAATACCTCCCTCATAGCACACAACATACCGCGTCCCTTTAGTCCGGTAATTAGCAAGACGTTGAGAGAGAGAGAGAGAGAGAGAGAGGGTTAACGTCCACTCGACACAAACTAGGTGATAGGGGTCTTCTGCTGTGGGAGGAACCTGAAGGATCTGGAGAAAACCCACGAGGTTGGACAGGCGACCCTACTCCTTATCACGTACAACCGTACAACCGGGGAATCGAAACCAGGCCAGTTGACTCAATGACAGACCTTATGATACAGCGCGCACCTGCTAACCATTCGGCCATCGAACCCCCCAGTAAGACGTTAAACCCCATTGGTTCTGACGAATTGCAGAAATAAAATAAGATAGATCTTTCTAAATATTTTAATTGGATTTTATATTGTATACATTTTATGTTATTGTATAATATACAAATTTAAATAATAATAAAACATAAAATACTAATAACAACCATGAAAATGTTTAATTAACTTTTTCTGGGTGGCGGAAATGAAAACAAATTCCGCTCATTCCTGTCCTTCAAATATCATTAATTACCCTTCTGATTAAATTTAAATATTTAATAATGATTATAATCTATTATTAATCAGTTTGAGCAATAACTCAAGGATAAGGGATTGGAATAGGGCGCGAACGTTAGAGGACAGCTCCCGCCTTTCAAAGACAAGTTTAGGAGAAATGGGGTTTTACTTGTATGCACCAACTGGGCTAATGTAGGTGGGGCGTATTTATATCATTTTGTTCCAAGATATGAAATACAAATCGATATATAGATATGAAAAATGAAGTGGAATATTCACAGAAACTTGTGTTGTGAATTGAATCTGTCACAACTTAACATAGTACCTTGCAACATAAATCATAGCTGTGTGGGCTTCCCATATAAATAAGAAATGGTATCAGCCATTCTAGATATAATTGCATAATCGGATCGACAGTGGCGCTTGCACAATAACATATATTGCCATTAAGGGTAGCATAGAAATATGGAAAACAAATTGGGTCATATATCCGTATCTCTACGGATTATCAAAATGATTAAGGATGGCATAGAAATGTGGAAAGAAAATTGGATCATAATTGCACAGTGGCGCTTGTGCACAATAACATATATTGCCATTAAAGGTGCAAAGAAATATGGGAACAAATGGGTCCACATTCCCCCGTTGTCTGAATACAACACGTCTATGCAATATTTAATACCGTTTATCTACATAATCAAGCAGAAATGGCGTCGTGAAATGATATAGGCCTAGAGAAGCGATATTCACCTCTAGTAAATAATACTGGTAACACCGAGGTTTTTGAGGAGAAAGTAAATAATTCAAAACTGTTTTGTAAATACACAAATTAAACCCCCCACGGCAAACAGTCACGATTAAAATAGCACCTGGAATTCTTCTATCAAAAAATGCCAGATAAATTGGAACTGGGTCTCGACATATCCACAATCCCAGATAAAATGGAAAGAAGAGGCGTAGACTTGTCTCCTATCCCAGATAAAAGTGAACTAAGGGTAGACTTGTCTCCTATCCCAGTATTGAGCTTTATATTATTATCATGAAAACATGGATAAAATCAGTGAGATATTGTTAATCACTTTCCCCACAGAAGTCTCTAAAAGTCTTTCTTTTAAAAGTTTAAATTGTGTATCACATTTTATAAAACTTTGCAAAACTTTCGTCGTCCTTTGGATCTTTTCTTTTGTAAAGCTGCACGTGTTGCTGTTTCAAAGACTTCTCTTACTCCCTCCTTGGTTCGCGCTGAGCATTCCAGATATGAATAAGCATGGATTTGTTCTGCCATGGTACGGCCTTCGTCTGTGGAAACGGGTTTTAGCTTTTGTTTGGATAATTCTTCTTTGGTTGCTGGATCATTTCTTAAATCTTTTTTGTTTCCTACTAAAATAATTGGAACGTTTGGACAGAAATGGTGAACTTCGGGGTTCCATTTTTCTGAAATATTTTCCAAACTGTCTGGATTGTCAATAGAAAAACACATGAGTATGACGTCGGTATCTGGATAAGACAAGGGACGTAACCGATCATAATCTTCCTGTCCAGCTGTATCCCATAATGCCAACTCCACCTGTAATTATAAGAATGCTTAATTAAGGAACTTGGTTACAAAATGAGAGATTTTGTTAGTAATCAATAAAGATGGCATATTTACTAAACTTGCCAAACCTGGACGTCTGTCGACCCGGGGTTTATCTAATCGGACCGATTCAATTTGACCGATATTTTGTCCATTCCGGTTTTTTTGGATATTCAGGGGAGTTACACATTGGTATTTTGAACTCTTGAACTCGAATTGCAAGAGCTGCTGCATTTTGTTATCGAACTGCACGAGCTGCTAGATTTTGTACTCAGTAAACAGTCAGAGAGCTGCTAAGTTTTGTAGTCTCTAAAGAGTCAGGATAAAGCATTCCACAGAAACCCGAGAGCTGGTCATGGGAAGTTGGATTGGGGGAAGTCAATTTTCTTTGAGCTGAGAGATTTGGTACACGATCTATTTAAGGACTGAACGATCTTACTATAAAAAGAGCCGGTATCTATGATACTAGACAACGAACAGCGTCCTCGTGTTCCATGTAAAGTTAAATCGAAAGGTTGGGTAGTTTGTATTATTTAAGGACAGTGTGTTTAATGTTGATTGGTATCCACATTTCAAACAATGACACTGTTTAACATTGCCAACATTTTCTATCCAACCAAGTTGAATGATTCATCTTGTATGATTTGTCACTGGGTGTATTCCAGCTTTTATTCATCCAGTGTATTATGGCAAGCTGTTGTCAGATAGAACAAATATCTACCTGCCAAGAATTCGATTTAATGTCAGCTGAACTAGACACAAAACCAACAAATAAACCGATAGCTATGGTGGCCAAACCCCTCAAGCCTAGAGCTAGAAATTGTGGTATTATGGCTGAGAGTTCTCGTTCATTTTATGTGAATTACACTTAACGTGAAGATGTCTAGGCTAAAGGAGACAACGACAAACAAACAGCCAGGATGACGTTTAGTTAAATGGCCGCCAGTGAAATAGTTTATCAAGCAAGTAAACAGAAGACATGTACTAGTTCCTATAGCAACACCCAAAACCGAATTCGTGTAGCCCAGTTCTTTTATGTATAGGGTTAGGGTTGGGGTCAAGTGACTGTGTTTTACTTACCGATCTGTTGTCGACTTCAATATCAGCAACGTAATTCTCAAAGACAGTTGGTACGTAAACTTCTGGGAACTGATCTTTACTGAAGACGATTAATAAACAGGTTTTACCACAGGCTCCATCACCCACTATAACTAACTTCTTCCTGGTATCACTCGTCATTTTAATACTTCAAAATCTGAAAAATAAACGGAAACATTAAAAGTATGTCTAAAATTTGTACATATTTTCCGTCCGTGAGTATACAATTTCCTTCGTTACTGAACGAGAGATTTATATAATCACCAATCGACAATTTTACTGCAAAATGAAAAACAGAAATACAAATGAAAAAGTAGAACGAGAACTTCTACGATTTTAACAAAACCATATTCATTCCTAGAAACACAAATGCCCATTAAATATGACATATATAATCGTTCCTGGAACCACATACGAACAAGTATGAAATATAACCTATTCCATTGATAATTACAGTATTTAACACATTATCATGGTTCACTTTAACTATCTAGATTAATATACTGTTCATTATAAGTAGGGCATATATAATCTATTGCTTTGATAAATATATCATTTAACTCATTTGATTAGTATAACATTAATTAATTAATTGATTCATACACCATTTATCAGATATAATTTATACACCCGACAATTATATGATTATTGTTCTAATATACAGCATGATTCATATTATATAATCACTTGTATCTAGGTCTGTATTTTGTGGGGTATGACTTATATTCTATAATCATATTATATAATAGTTTACCTAAATAAATAAATACTATAGTATAAGTGATACACCACAGAATATGATATACTATAGAATAGTTTACCCAAATACATACTATAGTATATAGTATACGATATAATCACTTGTATCTAGGTCTATTTTAAACTGTATTTTGTATGGTATAACTTATATTCTATAATCATATTATATAATAGTTTGCCTAATTAAATACTATACTATGTGTGATACACCACAGAATTATACAATAGTATATCTAACTAAATACTATAGTATATGTGATACACCACAGAATACAATTATACAATAGTTTACTTAATTAAATACTATAGTATAAGTGATACACCACAGAATACGATTATACAATATTTACCGATATGTTATATTTCACTATATTTAAACCCTTCAAAACAATATCGACTTTAACTCCTCTACAAACTACCAAAACATCTACACAAGTTGATGGTTTCTATTTTATGGCAATGTTGGACACTACATGTAGTTTTCTTTGATCAAATATTGATCGAAAGGGGCGTTCCCTGGTGGGTGTAGACGTCGGTCAAAATCAAACATATCTATAAATAGATTAATAAGGGAATACTTCCCTGACAATAGAAGATTTTGACATGTATTCGTCAAGGCGGATGATGACGTATCCAGGTAATAAAGTGAATATATTGTGTATATATATCATAGGCGTATAAAAGAGCACTTGTCGTATATGACGTCACAGATTGTTGCAATTACTATGGTATTATAGAAGGGGTATATTAAATACAGTGCCTTGTATTAAACTATGTTTGTTTTACAGGTGAGGTATAGATATTAATCTGACTAATTATATAGGTGATAAAACTGTTATGAAAAGCAGTAGACTTTTTATTTTCTTCCTAATATAATAATATTTTTTATGGAGATGTTTGTATAAGTATTTATTGCTGTATATGATGTAGTAATTCTCTAGAATATATTCAATGTTTTACCTATATAATTATACTTTTCATGTTATCAATATGCTTATTCTTTAAATCAACCGTGCAATAAATTCTTACACATAGAAATATCTGTACATAACATATCGATTATTATATTGTACTGTAGACATATAACATATTAATATATTTTCATTTACGTCATGATAAAATTGATTGGGAAGGTAAATAGGTACGATCACTTGCCAAAACATTTTGCATAAAAACCCTTTTCTTAAAATTTGATCTGCTATAACTTCTTTTACGCGCATGTCAATTTGAATATAGTATTTGGGAGCACTGGGGGGACATATAATTCGCTTGTGGGTTGGAGTCTTTAGCAGTGTAGGGGAAACCGGAGGACCGGGGGAAAACCGACGAGATTGGACAAACGATCCTAATCCTTGTCACGTACAACCCTGGGGGCGATTGGGCATACTGTCTAATAATAGTAAGTGCGAGAGAACCTCATAACAAGCAAAACAAAACCGACAACACAAACATTGCAACAAACAACAAGCAGCGCGGCTAAATCTATTTGTTAAGGCCAGCACAATTTTTGTCATGGTCCCTAAGATGTAAATAAGGTTAGGGTACGTAATTGTTGGCGAGATTGTAGGTTAGGGTAGGTTGTAGGTTGGAGCCCGGTTCAGGATTAGGGTTAAGGTTGGGATTAGCGCTAGCTCTGTTTACATCTCGTGACCTATGACGAAAAATAGACCTGGCCTGACCATTTAGCACTAACCCAGCAGTGCATATGCCAGCCCTGGAGACCTAACATATAGGATCCGGTTTATATATACAGGTGAGCACTTTAGCATGTGTGGATATGTTTCAATGGCAGTTTTTGTTTTGAAGAGGTGAAGATTTAAATAAGATACAATAGTCGTCAGTTTGATTCACTATAAGATAGAATAATACCTGACAAGGTGTGTAGTTTTTATATATATATATATATATATATATATATATGTATAGTTGACAATCACGGGGTTATAGGTCACATTCCTTTCTTATTACACATGTCACGAGTATGCTATGTATGCAATGTACTATCTGGATGTCCGAGACTAACAATGCACGTACTAGTGGTATTTGATTTGGGTAAAGTTTGAATTATATATGACAGGCCGTGGACAGTGGAATGCAAAACACTATGATAATATACTTCAATTAATAATATTCAACAACAATATTTATTCTAAGAAGAAGTGCGCTGTAGCTGTTTACTTTAGTTAGTTCCAGGCTCACCACAATATTATTTACTAACTTTGGTCATCCGGGTAACGATTGGCCAGAAGCTATAGAAATATTTACATTTTAAAAACATAAACTAATGACTATTGTTACTTATTTATGCCCATGTATGAATATTTTATATCTTGTCAAATAGAGATGGACGTGTGAGGACTGTCAGCTTGAAGGGTAAATTATTATATAGAAAATACACAACACGCCTAGAGGAACCATGATTGGCATGATGACATACTACTAGGCCTTTACAAGGACAAGGAGACAGGAACCATGATGACATAAAAAGAGGAAGCGCTTTGAATCAGATTTATTTCTATATTTCCTTGAAATTTGTCACAGACATATAGGGGGGTTGGGTTCGCGTGTGCATCGTGCTGCATCATAAGGTCTGTCATTGAGTCAACTGGCGTGGTTTTGATTCCCTGGTTGTACATGACAAGGAGTAGGGTCGCCTGTCCAACCTCCGGTGTCTCCAGTTTCCTTCCGCTGCTAAAGACCCGTATGCGCAAGCGAATTATTGAAATAAAATTGAACCATATGTTAGTCCCAAAATGACCTATTTTGTGTCCAGTGGATGTTAAACTCTCTCTCTCTCTCTCTCTCCTCTCCTCTCTCTTTGATGAAGCCAAATAGTGAGCTGGTGTACACCCACTGACAGAGTGCTCATAAAAAAATATTCTTAATTTTCTGATAAACTAAATAACTAGTAACTTCATAACCGAAATATCAATATTCACCGTAGTCTAGGTATATCATATTACATACATGAATCAATTGTATTTTACCAGTTGTATCTCTCCACCCAAAGTATTTTAATATAAAGCTACGCTTGGCTGCTTTCTTGTAATCTTATTACTATTAGCTGTGATAAATTACATGTACATTATTTAAGACGCACACACCTCCCCCGCATTTAGTATTAAATTTAGAAGAAAAAACAAAATCTATTATATTTTCGTCGCCTATATTTAATATATGCGACAAAAATAGATTTTTTTCTTCTTCTAAATTTAACACTAAATGCAGGGGAGGTGTGCGTCTTATATTACCAAATCAACTTGTTACATTGTTCCTACAAGGATTCAGACTACTTCAACTGTTAGTCTTAAAGAAATGAATTTAACGTCCAACACCGGCATCTTTCTCGGCTAACACCGGCAGCTTTCTTGGCCGATACCGGAAACTTTCTCGGCCAACACCGGCAACTTTCTTGGTCAGTATACCGACATCTTTCTCGGCCAACACTGGGATAGAACCCGGAACCACCAGGTTTAGTTAGCGAGCCAGCGTCCTACTCACTGAGCCAATGTCTTCAAGAGACAATAACACTTTGGATTCATGTTTATTGAATTTTATAGATTTAAACTAAAAGGGCCTCACACTACTTACTCTACATAAAATTTGGAGGGGGGGGGGCGTTGTTTTCATTCCCCGCTTGTACGTGACAAGGAGTTGGATCGCGGGTCAAAACTCGTCCTCTACTACGCGCTACCGGATTATAACTGAATTTGAACCATATGATAGTCCCAAAATAGCATATTGTGTGTTGTGTGAACGTTAAACCCTATTTATCTCAATCTCTCTCGCACATACATGTACGCGTACAATGGTCTAAGTCTTTATTAGCCCAATCAGAGCAGAAGAGTAGGACGTTAAACCCCATTTCACAATGGTCTAACCTCTAAACTATATGTAAAAAGAAATAACGGCTTAGCTGTACTATTATTAACACTTTGATCTGAACTAGATATAAAAATAGCCACTTGGTGTCCTAAATGTACTTATATAAGAATGAACCGGATAGATGGAGAATTTAATTCAAATATTCGCCCCCTATTCAGCTAAAATTAGATGTAATTCAATAACAGTGAATAATTTCATTTCATTCAACCCACATACATTTCTTCTCTATTGTACTTTATTGGTGAAGCGAGGTTTGAATTTAAATTGTATCCACCACCAGTCGTGTTGTTTATGTAACGCCCGTATCATGTTACAGTAACGGTCACCTATCCTGTATGTGGACGTACCATCACACAATAACACGGTTATTTGGTCATACAGTGAATCACCATGCTGTGATATTATAAACACCCAGTTTATAAATGTATTGATAATTCTAAACGTTAACGATGCGAGAGATGAAATAACCCTCTTTTCTAAAAGTTTCTGACTTTTGAAGGTCCGGTACTTAAA